CCCTTCCAACTCTGATTATCTGTTATCTGTAAGAGATGGGGCACAATTCAAGTTAAGGTTATGGATTATAACCATAAAGAAGCATAACATCCCGTGCATAGCCAGATATACCATGCATAAATAATCAATATATACAGAATTTCTTCTTCAGAGCAATAATGCAAGATACAAATGAGTTTAATTAGCACATTCAGGAAAGAAATAAACAGGTTAGCACACACACAATTAAATTAATTAATTAAATAGTCTGTCTTACAACTTACCTATTTCTATAAAGTACAAAAAATCCTTGAAAGGTTTAGAAATCTTAGAATCTGAATAAGGAAACCCCCATTAGCATTGTAAACCATCCATTTTCTGGAGTAAAATGGGCAGCCAATAAATTGGATAAATAAATTTATTCATGAATTCATTAAGATGCTTTCGTTGAATATTTTCTGAACTTTCTCATACTCATGATTTGCTTAACTGAGGGACTAACAGCTCTTCGACCAGACAGAATTGAAATCACCATGCACTCTCTATTTGTCATATTTTGAAATATTCTCTTATTTCTTAGACTTCAAGACTTTACTTACAGTAGCTTACAAATCTGTCTGGGTGGAATCCAGTGCATCTTCCCTTCAGTGGTGTTCTCTGCAAACCTTGTTTCTACAACACACAAAAAGGAGTTAAACAACCAGGAGGCTGTGAGTTCGATCCTGGGTAGAGGCTAATATTTGGAAAAGACTCTCCTGCTCGAGCCAGGGGGTTGGACTAGATGACCTCCAAGGTCCCTTCCAACTCTGTTGTTGTATGTTCTAAGTATGGTAAGATGCCAATTCTTGGAACTATGATCCAAGGTAATTTCCATACCATTTTAATTACAATATAACACGGTCTAGAGTTATTCAATTATTGATCTGCCCAAATAATCATAACATAACTATCCTTTATTTCATTTCAGCTATAACCAAATGTGATTACAAAGAGGCTATGGTGATGTTGTAATTCACTACTGGTAGTCTTCCACTAACAACAGTTCATTTAGTGACCGTTCAAAGCTACGGGCTGCACTTAAAAGAAGTGACTTATGACCAATTTTCACACTTACGATTGTTGGAGCATCCCCATAGTCATGTGATCACAATTCAGATGCTTGGCAATTGACTCATATTTATGACAGTTGCAATGTCCTGGGTTCATGTATTCACTTTCTGCGACCATCTGACACACAAACTCCATGGAGAAGCCAGATTACTTAACAACCATGTTACTGACTTAACAATGGAGGTGATTCACTTAATAACCGTGGCAAGAAAAGTAATAAAAGTCTCCCCGAGCTACAGAAATGTTGGGCTCAATTGTGTTTGTAAGTTGAGGACTACCTGTAGTGCAGAAATTACACAGGGTTTGGGTAGACTGAGTGATTTGGAAGATAGGTCAGAAAACTAGGATTGATGTTAGCTCCTTGTCAAGAATAGCGAGGGCAGTGGTGGCTAATCTTTTTGGGCTCTTGTGCCAAAAATTGTGTGCACGCTTGCATGCCCACGCTCATGTGGCAGCACCCAGAAGGCAATGCGCGCACCCCTGTCCCTACACATGCGTGCGTAATCCCCTCGCACCCACCCACCCACTCTGCTGCTCCCTTACCTGCACTGCACCTCACAGCTGATTTTCAGCCGGTTTGAGGCCTTTTTCGGCCTCCCAGAGGTTTGAGGAAGGCTTCTGTAGACTTTGCAGGCCGAAAACTAGCCCCGTTTCGTCACTTCTGGTATTTTCGGAAAAACAGGAAGTAATGAAACAGGGCTAGTTTTCGACCTGCAAAGCCTGCAGAAGCCTTCCTCAAGCCTTTGAGAGGCCGAAAAAAGGCCTCAAACCAGCCGAAAATCAGCTGTGAGGCGCGCGCAGTGAGGTAAGTTTGCCTGCAGCTTGTGAGCTGGCACAAATAGCTCTGTGTGCCACCTGTGGCACGTGTGCCATAGGTTTGCCATCACAGAGCTAGGGTCACAAACCTGGGTTCGCAGGCATGGAAAAGATGAAAATGCATTCCGGAGCTGTTTTCCAAATTTGCGTTCTTTGTGTGGATTCCCTAAGTAGCCCAGGGAGGAAAACTAGTGTGAAATTACATAATTGCATAATAGGAATGATCAGAAATTACATAATGTCAAAGTTACACTCACCATTCTGATCAACTCTTTCACCAGTGGTGAGTAGCCCCTGCCGAATTATAGTGTTGAAATGGGTCTGTAACTTTTAACCAGTTCCCCAAAAATGTTGAAAGAAATAGATGGTGGAAAGGGCAGAGTGACAGGTTACAATGACAGTAGATAGCTAAGAAGCTAAATACACACAGGGTCCTGTTTTATCTGAGTCCCTGGGTTTCACTATGAAGGACTTTGCCCAAATTACAATTCGGTTGTACTTTATTGAAACTTTCCACTTGTTTCACTGCAGTTCCTTCAGGCAGACAGTTAAATTAGGCCATTTCATAAACTCTGGTTGGGCTGATGTACCCTTAGGTGCCCCAGCGTGCCTGCCAAAGAATCTGTTAACCCTTTCTTCCCATTTTCCTTTTCTTAAAATATAAAATAGGAAGTTGGAATAACTAAGGGTGTTCTGACCCAGGCTTCGTGAAACATAATGAAACACAAACTTGTTTTAAAAGCAAAACCTATTTTAATGCAATGCTGGGAATTACTTTCATTCCCAGCAAGAAGTAATCTTAAACAGTTCCCCAAGATAAGCCCATGCCTTTCAGTGCTGTGGAATGCTGCCAAAGCCAGAAATATCCAAATTAATTATAACAGAAACCAACTGAAGTATATCAGAAAAAAACGTCCTGAGTACATAGAGCTTCAAGGAGAACTCGGAATCTATTGAACTACTTTGCTTCCTGCAAAGTGTTTGTCATTGAGGTCTGACTTTTATGCCTTATGGGAGGGGCAATCACCTCCCAGCCTTACTCCCGAGTTGCCCCTTCTGCTTCAGCTGCTCTTGCCTTCTAGCAGCTCGGCGCACATGTGCACTGGGAACAGGCTCCCCTGGGTCCTCTTCCTCGCTGCTGCCAGACTCCGAAGGCTCCAAAGGCAGCACCCCACTCCCAGCTGGTCCCGGTCCCATCCCTGCATCGGATGCAGGACCCTCGTCCGAGTCCTCTCCAGACTTCCTGACTGGTCCCTTTTCTTCCTCACTGTCTGATTCCACTGCCGTCTGCATTTCTGTTGCTAATTGAGACAGTTGTCAAGTGACTTTTGCCCCATTTTATGACCTGTATTGTCACAATTGTTAAGTGAATCACTGAAGTTGTTAAGTTAGTAATATGGTAGTTGAGTGAATCTGGCATCCCCATTGATTTTGAGTGTCAGACGGTCGCAAAAGGGGATCACATGATGAACCCAGGACTCTACAACCATCATGAATATGAGTCAGTTGCCCAAAGTCTGAATTTTTCATCATATTGACCATGGGAATGCTGCAATGGTCGTTAAGTGTGGAAAAGGGTCATAAGACACTTTTTCCAGTGCCTTTGTCACTTTGAATGGCCACTAAACAAATGTTTGTATGTCGAGGACTACCCATACTTATTCAGAGATGACATCCCATTTCCAAAAATCATTTTTAGATCAATTTCAATGTTTTCTCTGGAAGTCTGCCCATTTAACTAGAGTGATGAGATAAGGGAAGCCAGAGTGATAAAGAGACCATGCATTAAGGTGAGGAAGAACAGCAGGAAGTTAAGTTTCCCACTGCAGAGGTTTTGTGAATAGAAGACCCGAGCTATGGACAGGCTAGTGTGGTTAGCTGGCAGCAGGTGCGGATGGCTGAGGAGAGTGAGGACTCAGATGAGGGGCCAGGACCATCAGGGAGTGGATTGCTACCTTCAGAGATTGTGGGGGCCGGCAGCACTGATGAGGAGGTTCCCGAGGAGCCTGTGCCAAGTGCCCTCGCGCACAGAAATGCTCGTAGGAAAGAGCAGTTACAACAGCACAGGCGACTCGGGAGTAAGCCTACAAGGTAATGACTCCTCTTTCAAGAAGATAAAAGCCAGCTATGAAACGAACATACTTTGCAGAAGACAAAGACGTTTTGAAACTCCAGCCTCGTGGATGTTCCAGTATCCTGAGTTTGTATTTGAAGATTCTTGTCTTGCAAATTATTTCTTGTCTGTTATCTTTTGGCAAGCCTCGCACAGTTTGGCAAGGCTTGTGCTTATCACAGCTAATTATTTTGCAAAAGCATTACAAGGTTTCTGTTCCTTTTGGATTGTGTTTGATTTATTGGAAAAGGGTGTGGGTCAGAACACAGGCATACTTTGAGAGGTGCCCATCAGATGATCTCAAAATTCTGTCAGAACCAGTCAGAAATGGTTGAACGTTGTATGACATCCACATTTAATTACACGCCAATAGAAGATATTCAAGGGAGGGATCCTTATTGGGGTTTTTCCCCCAATCTCCCCTTCGAGGTATAATGATACTTTTCTTAATTTTTTCCCATTGCTTCAGAACTTTTGCTGAGCAACACTCATGGGTAGACTGCAAGCCAAAAAAAAAAGTCAAGATAGTGATGCAGTTCAGATTTTAAAAAGGGGCAGAACTTCTATTATGTGTCAAGATCAAAAAGTCAAGATTGCAGTTGCCATCTTGACTTTTGAAACATTATCCTGTAGACATCCTGCCAACGGTTCTCATCAACAGAATTCATTCTGGCAACGTCTCTGATGAAGTATTTAATCTGCTTTTAATCTATTTAATAATTTCTTCCTCTCAAACTGTAGGAAACTGAATGATTTGTTAGTTCAGCCGTTTTCAATTTGACACTTTCAATTGTACTAAGAGGATAACGTCCAGAATTCCCAGCCATTGGGGTTAGAGAGATTTTGTGACCTGTAGATCCGTATAGTTGGATGGTGCCAAAATGCCAGATGAAGCAAATACGCTTTGTTTGAAATAAAAGAGCCACTAAGCACCTGATTGCAACATCACTTTTTATTGTTTACACGGCAAATCTTACTTCCCAGTAATATTTAATAAATTGTATGTATCTGAATTAATTTCTTAGTATACCCATCTTAATTTCTTACTCTTCAGCTACTTAATCTGATCCTTCCAGATCATCTATGCACGAAAGAAAGCTAAATCTACAGTACATCATAGATGGCGGCTTGTATGTTTGCCGGAAAATAAAAGATGGCTACTCTTGTATTTATGCTTTGCTTCAGACTAGCTGATCCTGGAGAGAGACAGTAGATTGCAACTCTTTATAGCATTGTTTCCAAACATACAATAGAATAACTGGTGAGTTATGGCTTGGGCGACAGGTAGATGGAAATGTCCAGTTTCTTCGAAGGTCTGTGTTTCTCTCTGAGACGTTTCTGCCTTCAAGTCCAGTGAGAGATAAGATGACAATGGAAAGAAAATAAAATAGAAAAAGAAGAATAAAATAACACAGCGCTGACTGATTCTTTTCAGCATTTCAGGGTTGTTTTTTTAATTCCAGCCATCTCCAAATATGTCATAATTCCCACCCAAGGACTCATGCTGAAAAATGCTTCTGCATTCCCTCTCACCATTGGTTTTCTATCATCATGGGCACAACTATGAAATTTTGTGCTATTTTGAAAAAAACATGCTCTTCATTTATTTATTTGATTTATTTGATTTGTCAATTGCTTACAAGATAATAAGTATAAGTATATACATAGTTATGAATACATGGAATGGGTACGTATAAGAAAAATAAAAGAAACAATAGGACAGGGACGGTAGGCACATTGGTGCACTTATGTACAGACCTATCTACAGACCTCTTAGGAAAGGGGTGAGGTCAATAGTAGACAGTCTAAGGTTAAAGTTTTTGGGGTTTGGGGAAGAAACTACAGAGTCAGGTAGAGTATTCCAGACATTGACCACTCTGTTACTGAAGTCGTATTTCCTGCAATCAAGCTTGGTGCGGTTTACCTTGAGTTTGTATCTATTGTGTGCTCTTGTATTGTTATGGTCGAAGCTGAAGTATTCATTGACAGGTAGGACACTGCAATGTATAATTTTATATACCATACTTAGATCAGACCGAAAACGGCATAATTCAAGGTTTTCTAGGTCTAGAATTTCAAGTCTGGTGGCATAAGGTATTCTACAACGAGTAGAGGAGTGGAGAACTCTTCTGGTGAAATATTTCTGGACTTTCTCAGCTGTGCTAACTCTTCATAGGGCTGCTTGTAGAATACAGCTTTTGGCTGTGTAAATATCAGCACGGCAGTCATCTGCATGGACTTAAGGTAAATAAAGTGTTGCAACACAACTTTGTTACAGTAGTTCAAAATTACAAAATCCTCAGTTGGCTTCCAGAAATGTTGGGTTTTCCCCTTCGTGTCAACGCATCTATCCTGGCCGTTTTTTTGGCTGTTGTTCTTTATGTATAAATGAGGTTTGTGAGCCATCTACTGGTGATGGACAATTGATGGGAAAAGCCTCCACATTTTCCTAAACTGATTGATCTTCAAGAGAAAGCTCTGGTTATCAGTGGATATTTGCAATTTATACCACAGAAGTGAATTGAGCTGGATATACTGGTAACATGTTCTCCTTTTAATTAATTTTGGCACATAATTTGATGTAACAAATTATTTCCAGTTTTTTTTTTTCACTCCTACGGTTATTTCAAACTAATATATTGTCAACAACATGTCTATATTAATACTTAAATTATTAACTATTCTGCCCAAACTATGTAACAATGTACTCCTTTTTCTGATCCAAAATTCCTATCTCTGGCATATATAATATAAATATAGTTTCAAAATATTAACTCAAAAATATAAGAGATTCCAGGATTAGGTTTTGAGTGTAGAAAAAGGAACAACAGACTTGGAAGGGACCTTGAAGGTCATCTAGTCCACCACCTGCTCAAACTGGAGACCCATACCATTCTGGACAAATAGCCATCCAATCTCTTCTTAAAAATCTCTAGTGGAATACCTGCAACTTCTGGAGGCAACCCATTCCATTGATTAATTGTTCTCCCTGACAGGAAATCTCTCCTTAATTCTAGGTTGGATCTCCCTTTGTAAGACTGGACATCCCTTAAGGAACCAGGATGGTATTGCAGAGGAGTTTGACAGCCAGGTTGTGAATTCTGGCCTACACACTCTCTCCAGACCAAAAGAGATTGTAAGATTGCCCATCTGTACGCCAAACAGCTACTCATCATGAGAAGACTGCAGGAACTGAGATTTTTGCAGTCAACATGTGAGTCAATCAGTTGGGGGCTGAAGGATTTCAATCAAGCTGACAGCTGTAATGCAGCTTATAGGGAGGCAAGGTTTGCAAAAATGTCACTTTCTTAATCGCAATCAGATGTAAATATTGAGCAGCTATAGAGATATTTTCTGAGCAGAAAAATAAAAGAAATACACTTATATATTTATATAATATTATTATATTAATATAACATTAATATATAATATTATATTAAGGCATTAAGAGTTGTTAATAATCTTGCGTAGCTTCTTCTCTGGTAACATTCCACTGCTAACTAGAGCATACAAAACATTTGCTAGACCAATTCTTGAATACAGCTCATCTGTCTGGAACCTGTACTGCATTTTGGACATTAATATAATTGAGAGAGTACAGAGATATTTCACGAGAAGAGTCCTCCACTCTTCGGCTCGCAACAGAATACCTTATACCACCAGTTTTGAAATTCGGGGCTTAGACAACTTAGAACTACTCTGCCTTCGGTCTGACCTAAGTGTAGTACATAAAATTATCTGCTATAATGTCCTACCCATCAATGATACAGATACAGATAATCAGAATTGGAAGGGACCTTGTAGGTCATCTAGTCCAATCCCCTGCCCAACCGGGAGACCCTACACCATTTCTGACAAATGACAGTCCAATCTCTTCTTGAAAGTCTCAACTGATGGTGCTCCCACAACTTCTGAGGACAAGCTGTTCCATTGGTTGATTGTTCTCACTGTCAGAAAGTTTCTCCTTGTTTCCAGGTTAAATCTCTCCTTGCTCAGTTTCCATCCATTATTCCTTGTCTGGCCTTACACTGCTTTAGAAAATAGCTTAACCCCTTCCTCCCCGTGGCAGCCCCTCAAATATTGGAAGACCTCTATCATGTCTCCCCTGGTCCTTCTCTTTACTAGACTAGCCAAGCCCAGTTCCTGTAACCGTTCGTTGTATGTTTTAGCCTCCGGTCCCCTAATCATCCTGGTTGCTCTTTTCTGCACTTTTTCTAGAGTCTCAACATCTTTTTTATATGTGGTGAACAAAACTTGATGCAGTACTCTAGGTGTCGTCTTTCTAAGGCTTTATAGAGTGGCATTATAACTTCCCTTGATCTTGACTGTATCTCTCTGTTAATACAATTTAGGATTGCATTAGCTTTTTTGGCAGCTGCTGCACACTGCCTGCTCATATTTAGCTGGTGGTCCACTAAAACTCCAAGATCTCTCTCAGTTACTGCTATTGAGCCTGGTTTCACCCAGTCTATATGTGTACTTTTGGTTTTTCTTGCCTAAGTGTAGGACTTTACTTTTCTCTATATTGAATTTCATTTTATTAGATATGGCCCAGTGTTCTAGTCTGTCAAGATCCCTCTGGATTTTGAGTCTATCTTCTTGGGTGTTAGCTAATCCTGCCAGCTTAGTATCATCTGCAAATTTGGTAAGTTCCCCTTCTATTCCCTGATCTAAGTCATTAATGAAGATATTGAAGAATACTGGGCACCCCACTGCTTACTTCCCTCCATGTAGACTTAGACCCATCAAGGACTACTCGTTGAGTACGGTTTGCCAGCCAGTTGCTAATCCATCGAGTGGTGGTGCTTTTTTGAGCCCCGAAAAAATGGGTAGGTCGTCTTTTGGGGGGGTGACTTAATTCCCCCCCTTGCATTTTCAGGCAGGCGGGCAGTGACAGCTTGGATGTTGACCTCGGCGTTGGTGGGGCACTTCGTATCGGGGTCAACACAGGCAGCACCATACCTGGGGGTGCAACAAAAGTACTTCCTAACGGCAAGCCCCCCCATTCCCCCCCCCATTTAGCATGTTTTAATATAGGCCTTAATTTGGGGGTGGGGCTTAATTTCATTTCATGCCTATAAAACATGCTGGGACTTCCTATTGGGGGAGGCCGTATTGTTGGAGAAACAGGGTATCTATTCCACTTTTTTCTAGCTTACTAAGAAGTAGGTTGTGGTCTACTTTATCGAATGCCTTGCTGAAATCTAAATATATTATGTCCACAGTATTTTCCTGGTCTACTAATTTAGTCACGATGTTGAAGAATGAAATAAGGTTGGATTGGCATGATCTGTTTTTAACAAACCCGTGCTGACTGCTAGTTATTACTTTACTTTACAATGACTGCTTCAGCTTCAACCACAACAATACACGAGCACACAATAGGTACAAACTTAAGGTAAACTTCTCCAAACTCGATTGCAGAAAATACGACTTCAACAACAGAGTTGTGAGTGCCTGGAATGCACTACCTGACTCTGTGGTCTCTTCCCCAAACCCTCAAAACTTTAACCTCAGACTGTCTACTGTTGATTGCATCCCATTCCTAAGAGGTCTGTAAGGGTCCTGCATAAGCGCACCAACGTGCCTACCGCCCCTGTCCTAATGTCCCCTTTCATTCGCACCCACGTCATGTACTCATAATCATGTTCTTAATTATATCTTTTATCTGAAACATACTAGACAAAATAAATAAAAAAAAAACACTTGGCGAGTTAGCATTGTTTCTGGAGAAAGGAAGAAAAATCTAAATTTTCATCAAAAAGCTTAAGAAGAATTGAATTTCTTAAAGTTTAGAACAGTTAGAGGGGACAATAGTTTTGAAAAATTAAAGTTTGGTGAAATTATTTTTAAAATGTTGGAATTAAACAGACAGATGAACCTAGCCTTGAGAAAGTTATTTTTTTTACATTAAGCAATATAGAAAACACTCCTGCATGCTCTGCTCTTTCAATGCCATACATGTCACGATCTGTTAGCAATGCCCCCACTCCCCTGAATTCTATGAAAAATGGGGCAAACTTTGCACAAAAGAATTAATGGATATATTTGACATCAGAAGTGAAAAAAAAAGAAGTTTTAGGTTTATGTTTTGTGTTTTGTATGTCTATGTTTGAATTAATAAAATCTTAGAAGAATGTAAGAAGAATGTTGGAAGAGAATAATGAAATTGTAAATAAGACAGATGGATATAAAGAATGTACACAATCTAAAGCAAAGGAAATATAATTTGAATAATAGAAGGAAAGGGAGAAATAAAGAGAAGCTCGGATAAGATACGAAGTTGAACAGATAAGGTAAATATATATATTAAATTGTGCTTGTATGGAAATGTGATAATTTGGAATTATTCTGTCTTTAAATAAGATGTTTTATTGTTTTTTTCAGAAAAGATTTTTTATGTTATTACATTCTATGCTTTGTGTATTGTTTTGTAAAAATTAATAAAATTTGTTTAAAAAAAAAAGAAGTTAAAAAAAAAGGTTAAAATCCGAACATTTTAACTTCCCAGGAGATTTCATGGCAGATGTTAAGATGCTCATTTTAAAACAATAGAACGAGACCAGTATTAGAGTGAGAAACTGCCAAACTCACACATTCAAAATATTCCAGCCTATTCAGAAAGTCTTAATTAACACAATGCAGTTTTTTAACCCATCACAATCATGTTGACTGGTGAGATCCTGTCATTTGCTTAACCTGCATCTGCACAAACCCCCTTTCCTCCACTTTAAAGTCTACATTGGCCTTTTTATTAAGGAAATCAGTTATTTCCAAGCTTAAAACAGTTCCCAAAAGTCCCAAAATCCCACAGTCATCAAACAGTCCAGGCAGAGTACAAGCTTCTTCTTTTTACAGTTTCTCTTCTAGGAGTGAAGTCAAATTAGGGAAAGCAGAGACGTCCAATCTGTGCTTTAAATCTTTCTTAGAATTAATTTCAATTCTCTTTATCTTCAAGGCATCTCCTCCAGCAAAGTCTTAGAGTAAAAATTTGTTTTCCCAAGCCTCTCCCTTCCCACTTATAACAAACGAGTTTAGATTTTACCTTCTATCAAAAGGCTGGTTTCCCTTGTCCATTTGTTAATTCCATAAGGGAGGGAGAGTGACTTCCCCTTTTTGTCACTTTTCTTCGCAGCTGAAAACATCAATCGGGAACATTATAGCTTTCAAGTCATTACTTTCCCAGGTGTTAAATATATCCTTAAGGTCCCAGTTCGACCAAGAAAAAACTTTCTTTAAAAAAAAACACCTCCTTCTCCCTCCTGCGCATTCTTTATCCAATTGCCGGCTTCTTTATGGTGGCCATAAAAGACCACCGCTGCACCGTCTTGAGAGAAGGGGGTTATTGCCGGCTGGGGGGGGTTGCGACGCCCCTCATCCCCGTCCGGATCCCCCCTATCTTCAGTTGCCCCAACAGGGCAGCCTTAGCCTCCAAATCCGTCAGGATCGGAGGCACCAAGGCGGCTAGCACAGCAGGGATCGCAGAGAAGGCGAATCCCTGCTGTCACCGAAGCCGACCTGATTGCCTTAATAAAAAGAAGAGGATACAGAAAGAGAAGAAGAAACAGTTCAAAATGGCTCTATCTCTTGATGAATTAAAAAAACAATATCTAAAAATAAAGAAAGAAGGCAGATGTTATGGGAGAAGCCCTTTGTTTTCTAGATATGGTGCTTGTCATGTGTCAGCAAATTAAACAACAGCTGGAAGAAGCCGAGGAAGAAGAAGCCATTTTTAATGAACTAAACGGTGTGACTAAGAAAGAAAGGAGAAAGAGAGGAGCGAAAAGGAAGGACTTAAGAAATAAAAAAATGTTTATGAAAGAGAAAAAGAAGATGCAAAAACAACAGAATGCTAGAAAGCAAAAGGAAAGAGGAATGCAACAGAAAGGGGAAATCAAGAAGGCAGAGGTTTGGAGAGGAGGGGGTAAAAAGTTTAGGCGGGCTAAGAAGGAAAGGGAAAAGGGGGAAAAAAGTTACAAAGGTATAAGACAAGATGGAGAAAAGGAAACTTTTTTCAGGGATAATGGGTAATATATGGGATTTTTTTTTTTAAAAAAAAGGGGATTCTGCAAAGTACACATGAGTATTGTAATAGTGGTATTTATATTATAAGTAGATAATCAGAACTTTTTAAGATCTAATAAAAGACTAAAATATCAAGGTATAACTTTAAAAGGTTTAATAGTGAATGATAATAAGTTTTAATAAAATACTAAAGGGAATGTTTAAAATATTAGTTTGAATATAGAGTTTAATGGATTAATGTGTTGATTGTTATGGATTTATTATTGTAGTATTGGTTTTTGAAATAGTAGAATGTACTAAGCAGAATCTGATTGGGATTTAGGTGTTATTTTAAATTTTAACTTAGGGGAATGATAGAAAGGCATCATACTCCGATTAGTGATTCCAGGGGAAACTATTCTTTCTTAAATTGGAAATGAGACAGATGTAAATTGAGAAATGGACAAAAGATATAAAAATATTTTTTTTAAAAGCAAGATTAAATATATAAAACAGAATTAAGATGAGGCAAAAGTGGAGAGGAGTTATATAATAGATATAGAATGGTAAATAAGATGGGTAATGGTATATAAGAAGAGCGTGAATTCAATTGAGTCCATACAAAAAGAGGTAATCTGGGGCCAAGTTACTTTCTAGAAGAAAGTTTTATGTTTTTATGTCTATGTTTTATGTGTGTGTGTTTAATTAAGAATTAAATAATAAAATCTCGGATGAAGACTAGATGAGAATAATTATAAACAAGCCAGAGGAAAATATAAAGTTGATGACTGGATAGCAGATAAATCAGAAAGGAAATATGATTGAATAATGATTAAAGAGAAACAATGTGGAATTTGGTAAAGGGAATTTACGTGTTTATATGGAAATGGGATAAATTATAAGTACGTGATATAAAACAATATGTTACCTGCCTTGTAAAGATCTACAATGGAAAGAGGTTTTATGTTTTTAATGTTTAATGATGTTTTGTTTTGTTTGTTTGTTTGTAAAATCAATAAAACTTGTTTAAAAAAAAAGTCTACATTGGCCTAACCATTGATATGCATTTGGTACAGTGAACCATACCTAACAAAACACTTATGATAACATTTGTTAGTTAGAAAAGCTGCTGCTAGACTCTTTCTAATTTAATTATTTCACTAGGAATAATTTTAGCTTTACCAGGAAGCTAGATGGCTAGAAAACTGGAAGTCGCTTAATTTACTTTTCTTTGCCTTAACACGCTGCCCTTACCTTCGTTAGCAACTGTATCCTCATACAAGCAGAATTCAAGAACCTGCTTTGAAGACTCTACTCTTTGAATTTTTGAAGCTGTTTGGAGTTGCACACCTAGCTTAAGGCCCACTGATTTCCGCTAATAAGATATTATGCCAACCCCCTAAACCCTTCAAATTTGGTGCCCTCCAGAGCTGTTTGAACTACAATTTTCAAGATTCTTAACTAACAGTGTTGCAATTGCAAAACATCTGGAGACAGGCAACTGACACGATTACTATACCCTGAAACTATCTCCTGTACAAATAGTTCAAATTTCAGTAGAGTTACTTCTCATTTAATTTGTTCCCTTCTCTCATACTCAAGGGTTGATGTTGCTCCTTAGTAAAATGGAGTTTTAATGACATTTAATCATATTTAATCACATGTAGTGCTGTTTAATGACACTTACTGCTTCTTTCTTCTCTGACTCAATAGAAGAGGTAGCACCGATGGATCTTATGGCAGATTTCTTGAATTCTTCTGTTGATATCTCTGACAAAGGACCTCATGAGAATAATAATAGAAAAGAATGAGTAATCAATAATAGCTAAGCATCAGAAGTACTAACCCATTTCAATGGTACAAAAGAGACTTTTTGGAAAACATCTTCTCATTTTCTTTTAGAAAAAAGATGTTCGAATGTTATATTACTCACCCATAGCAGGGGTCCCCAACCTCCAGACTGCTGACAGGTACTGGTCTGCGATGTATCAGAAACCAGATCATGCAAGCAAGCAAGCAAGCAAACCCCAACCACACAGGATGCAGGTAGCACATGAAACCACGGTCCCCTGATCCATGGAAAAAAATGGTCTCTACAAAACCGGTCCGTGGTGCCCCAAAGGTTGGAAGCTGCTGATCCACAGAATTAACTGGTTTCAGTTGTGCATTTAAAATTGGAAAGTATATAATCAGAAAACTGTATCTCGCTTATTTTGGCTTTGTCATGCGGGAGAATTCCCTGGAGAAAGCGATTAAGTTTGGAAGAGTTAGCGGTAAAAGGAAACCAGGCTGCCAAAGAACACGATGGCTGAATACCATCAAGGCTGATACCAGCCAGAGCATAGAACAACTCAGAGAGCAAGATCAGAAGATGTGGAGAGACCTGGCCCATAGAATTGCCAAGAGTCAGACATGAATGAATGGATATCATCATCATCATCATCATCATCATCATCATCATCATCATCATCATCATCATCAAAGTAAGTGACAAAGGGGCATTACTCAAAATACAGTCCATTGAGGGAGAGCCAGAATTATAATTGAAATTCTTATAGACTGTTGAATTTACAAGGAGCAGTCTCCTACAATGGTTGAAACACACACACACATGCACACAATTGATTCACTGATTATGTGTCATCAAGTGAACCATAACATATATTGTACTCTTGGAGCAGGATGTGTCCCTAACATAAACTGTTTCAACTCCTTCCCTCAAAACGACGCTATAGAGCACTGCACACCACAACAACTAGACACAAGGACAGTTTTTTCCCGAAAGCCATCACTCTGCTAAACAAAGAATGCCCTCAATACTGTCCAGCTATCTATAAAGTCTTCATTACTATTACTATTAATCTTCTCATCACTCCTTATCACCCATCCCATCCCACTTGACTGTTTCCCAGTATGATTTGATTGTTGATTGTACCCTATGACTATCAGTAAGTGTTGTACATTATGATTCTTGATTCTTAACGAATGTACCTTTTCTTTATGTATACTGAGAGCATCTGCACCAAGACAAATTCCTTGTGTGTCCAGTCACACTTGGCCAATAAACTAAACTATTCTATTCTATTCTATTCTATTCTATTCTATTCTATTCTATTCT